AGCACATACCTCTGGTAGGCATCGCTAAGGGCTTGCTTCTCTTCTTCCAGCGCATATTCCATCGCGCTGCACTGCCTCGTTAACGTGTCAATGATTGCCTGATGATTCAGATCCTGGCGTAATTCACGTATCGAACGGCTTAGTGCGCTGAAATAAAAACAGTACTTGGCAATCTTGTTGAAAATAAAAACACGTAGCGACAAGACCACTCTCTGTTGGTGTTCCTTTTGTACATATTTGAGAATGTTTTTGTTCAAGTAAGTCATCCCCAAAATGAAATCCTGAAGCAGCAGTATTGTAAGTGTGCAAATTTTAAAATCGCCTTTCCAGTTTCTTTCTCTCTCTTTACATCTCGACTTACTATCTCTAGTCCAGACTTGATTAACTTGGTAAATTTTGGACAGAGCGAGACTGCAGAGCAGAAGTTTCGGATTTTTCAGCGGATGCCATGATGTACATGACTTAAAATCACCTTTTCAACAACACTGTGTCTGCACTCTAGTCCAGGCAATTTCGACAGTAGTAGTGAATTGATATACATGCCCAGAAAAATTCAGTAAAAGTGGTTTTTCAAAAACTGCCCTTGGAAAAATGGTCCACTGTTAGTCTTATTATAGATAGGTTGCTGCTATTGCTCATCTCTTTTAATTACTATTTGGATATAAACTAGCACACATTCTGGTTGCAGTCTCTTTTTAAATGAGCACTGATTCTAATTAGATACTATTATTCTAAAAAAAGAATGTGTGTGACTTAATGCACCAAAACATCCTACATTTGTTATATTTTTCTCCTTTTTTCATAAATAATTTTCCTTATAAATTATTAATTAATTCCTCATCTTTCACCACTCGCTCCACCTATTAAATCATTACTAGCTTTCCGCAGTCTTTACCTATTCCTACCTCCCTGATCACCTCCAAATATTATTTATTATTAAAAGTGGTTGCAAAAACAAAACTGATACATGAAAAACCATTTCGTGACTTTTAAAAAAGCATTTTTATATGAATTATTTCCTTTTTGCGGAAACGTGGGTTGGTCTTTGAGGCGTTTTCTGCTCTAATACAATAATGAAAAGGCACGCGCTTCGGTCCTATTGCAAGCAGCGTTTGTGCTCCACTGCTTTCATTTCGAAAGCTATTTTTTAGCAAAAGCATGCCGACATCCTTATTCAGATGCTTGCCAGAAAAATTCTTTTCCACTTGATATTTTATTCAATCACTGGACTTTGATAATAACTAATTTTATTGCATATATGTCGAAAAAAGCTAAAAATGACTCACAGTGAAACTGCGCCTCATGCATCTTAGTAGCCTCGGCAAATTCTTTTAAACTAATCAGTCCTGATCCAATCGTAGGTAATTTAGATCAGTACGTATGCACTGGCAGAAATTGTAGGTAACTAACTGTAATGCAAAAGATGTTCTTTGATTCTGAGTGGTCGAAGAAAGCCAACTTAAAATATGGCACAAATCCGTTCGATGACTAATCAAAAGCATGTCACAAGAAAGCTTGCTGAGGGGATATTTGTTGTCTCGTGAATAATATAATTTTATTAGTTTGCAGCTCTGTGATTTCATGCTCATCAAAGTTACAAGATCCCTGATAATACTGTCAAGACATAGCTAAGATGTTAAAGATATTTATGCTGTAAAGGCGAGTGTGAAATGGCTTAAAGAAATTATCCCTGGAATTTCGTTTAAATTGGTTGGAAGATTGGGTGAGTAACAAAAATCCTGCAGAAACCAGATAAGGTAGCTAGAACAGACCTAGCGTAAACATTATACCTAAATATCCTATCTTTCGCCATAATAGCAACGTAGTGAAAAGTACGCGAAGTCCTGATGCTTATAAGAATGCCTTTTATTTATGAAGTGTGGGACTCGCGTCCTAGAAGACTGAACCTTTCTGGGGCATGTCTAAATCGAAGCTTTGATAGAAAGCAGCAGTACCTGATGTCCTCACCAACAGATCCCGCATAGCTCAGTTCCGAGTCTTCTTTGCATCTTGGGCATACACTGCGCTGAAATTTGGCAGCTTTTTACTGAAAGTCAAACAATTTGTCATTTATATGAACGGATTTGTAGCAAAACGCTTGCTTTATACCTCTTCCAGCTTTCCAGCCATCGATCTTCGTGACGTCTGTAGTTCATCTTCGAGCCGCTTAACTTCCTCTTTGATGCGCAAATTCCTGCAACCATTACAGTGAACAAGAAAAGTTTTACCAAACAGTTCCTCAGAATTTATTGAAGTTGTGAGGATCCGAGTTTTTCTTTACTTTTCAACATCCCAAACAGTCAAGCATCTTAACAATGCTGGAAAGAAATCCTGGAATTTATAACTCGTTGTCTAGCAAAACGATCAGAATCCTCTTGACTGCCCTGACAATTCAAAAACAATTAGAATCGAAAACCGCTATCTACACCTCCAAATTTCTATCAACGGAAAAAGTTTTTTTGCTTTATATGCCTTTTTTTTTCTCTTATCTTAAGCAGAAAGTAATTAACAGTTTACGTAAATGATGTACCGCTTGATGCATAGAAGATCAAATTGAAAAAAGAAACAACAAACGTTTGTATTAAGCTTTCGTTTTCGGAGCGCAAATCACGTAACGTGTGTTGATCACTTTCTTTCACATGCGCTAATTCGTTCTCCAGGCTAGCTATTCTAAAAAAAATTGTTACAAGAAAACCAACAACATCTCGCGATTAAGTGAATTCAGAAAAATTTAAGCTCACGGTGAGACGAATGTTGGGATTGGAAACCGAACTAGTAATTAGCCTCAAGAGAAACTGTATCGTTATATTTTGCTTGCTGTATCATGGCGAACCAAGGTATCAGCGCAAGATACGCAGTGGTTTCACATTGATGTCAATGTATATGGTAATTATGATAAGAATGGTAAGGCGGAAATGAAATCGCGACAGTGTTTTTATGGATTATCCGTTACGAAATTACCATAAAATAGCAACGAGAATGCCAATTTTCCATCATTTTTGGCAGAGGCCCAAAATAAAAATGGGCACTGTAAGCAACAGGCATCGTACTGAATATGTCTACGCTTTGCCCAGCTGCAGTCTCAACAAAAAAATAAAAAAAAAAAAAAAAATTGTATGGCCGCATATCCGAAAACGGCGGCAAAGGAGTGGTGAATGAAAGAGAGATGCGAGGGCACATGAACAATCCACCAATCCGGGAAAAAAGATTGAATTGTTAGCTCACCTATCGTTGGCGTTCCGGAGCCAGTACTGGTGCTCTCCGAGCTGCCATTCTGCATCAGCCTTCTGCTTCATCAGCGCTTCCTTTTCCGCATCCCGCATGCATAACTGCTCATTCAAATGCTCGATTGTATTTTGTACTGTGCTAAAAGTTACATAAGAAATGACTGTACTTCATTCCAGAATCCTTTGAATTTATGCTCACATTTAGTAAAATTTGTGCTGGCAAGTATTTTTGCCTTGCTAATTTGCAAAAAAAACCC